GTCGGGCTCTGTGCTGTCAGTTCAGAGCCTGGAGCCTGTTTCAGTCTGTGACTCCCTCTCTCTCTGACCCTCCCCTGCTCACGCTGTCTCTCTCTCTCTCTCCTAAAAATAAAAAAAAACATTAAAAAAATGTTTAATTAAATAAATTAATTAATTAAATCAATGTTTTAAATAAGGGTCAAAGACCAAATATTAGAGCAAAGCGTACTTCATGGTACTTTTACCATTTAGGAAATTAGAAAGTTTTTTTTTTAATGTTTATTTATTTGAGAGAGAGAGAGAGAGAGAATGTGAGGGCGGGGCAGAGAGAGGAGAGAGAGAATCCCAAGTAGGCTCTGCAGCTGTCAGTGAGGAACCTGACGTGGGGCTCAAACTCATGAACTATAAGATCGTGACCTGAGTTGAAGTTGAGTCAGACGCTTAACCCACTGAGCCACCCAAGTGCACCTAGAAGGGTTTTAGAAGTCCTGGGTTGGGACGCCTGGGTGGCTCAGTCGGTTGAGTGTCCAACTTCGGCTCAGGTCATGATCTCGGGCTTCCTGAGTTCGAGCCCCACGTTGGGTTCTATGCTGACAGCTCAGAGCCTGGAACCTGCTTCGGATTCTGTGTCTCTCTCTCTCTGCCCCTTCCCTGCTCGCCCTTTGTCTGCCTGTCTCCTCAAAACAAAACCAATGACCATGTGTGAAACTAATTTTAAGGCACAATGGCTTCAGAGCAGCATGGGAAAGGGAGCCACCTCTAGACCACTACCATGGCTCGCCCTGTGTGCTACACCCCACCCCACTGCGGTCACCACCAAGTCCAAGAGGACAAGTGAAGGAGAAACTAAAGAAGAAAAAGCCTGGGGCACCTGGGTGGCTCAGTCGGTTAAGCATCCAACTTCAGGTCATGATTTCATGGTTTGTGGGTTTGAGGCCTGCGTTGGGTTCTGTGCTGTCGGCACAGAGCCTGCTTTGGATCCTCTGTCCTCCCCTCTGTCTGCCCCTCCCCTGATCATTCTCTCTCAAAAATAAACAAAACAAAACAAAACAAAAGACAAAAAAGCCCAAGGGAAGGATAAGCCACAGAAGAGATGGGCATCCTTTGCTGCATAATTTGCTCTTCCTAAAAAGGCACCTTGCAGAAAAGGGAGCGAATAACCAAATCTACAAAAAAAATGGAGGTGCCAAATGAAGCTTGTGCATGCTTGTGAAGCTTGTTCATCCATAACTGTGCTCATGTGTTCTGTACTATCAGAATGACTTTTATCAAGTTTTATAGAGACATAGAATTCTTTTTTTATACGCTATGTTAGCACAGAGAATGCCTCATTGTTTTGGGGAAGGGCAAATGTCACTAACAGAGTATCTCAGGAACCAAGTGAAATAGCCACGGGGAAGAAAACAAGAGTTTGTGTCCTTGGTTTGGGGAGTATTTCTCTTGGTTGCTGAGAGAAGGGATTGACTGACATTCACAGCCACTGTGACATTTGCCTGTGGTGTGAGGAAGTGAAAATTCATTTTTTAGGTCCTCTTCTCCATTCCTTTATGCCCTTAGAATGAACTTTATGTCCTTAAACTCAGATGTGTTGGTACCTAGCACTCTTTTCCTTGGGGGCTCCAGATCTGGTCTTTTCTGGGATGACATTGACACTGAGTTCCCTAAAAGAGCCAGGAAGCAATGTGTTTTGATTGTGGACCTTAAATTCTGTACTTTTCATGACATTTTCTCAAGATCAAGGTCTGCCTGTGAAAGAAATTAACATGTTAATTGCTCATTTCCCTAAACTCTTCCCATTTAAATAATCATGTAAAAATTTCCTTGGGTCTTAGGGTGCCTGATTGCCTCAGTTGGTTGAGCGTCTGACTCTTGATTTCAGCTCAGGTCATGATTGTATGGTTCCTGAGATGAAGCTCTGAGTCAGGCTATGTGCTGACAGCAGGGAGCCTACCCGGGATTTTCTCTCCCCCTCTCTCTCTGCCCCTCCCCCCGCCTCTCTCTGTCCTTCTGCACACCCATGTGTGCATACACTCTCTCTCAAAATAAATAAACATTAAAAGTAATAATAAAAACAAAAAGTATTAAAGTCTGTTTTAGGGAAAAAGCAACATTACTTAAACCTTTTCCACTTTCAGAAAAATCTACATGTTTCCGAATATGGACTCAATTTTAAGTTCTACCTTAGTGTGATATTTGTATCAGAAGTGAGACAGTTAATGAATATGTTATTGAGCCACAGGGGAGAAAAACCTCCTGATCTTAATGTATATCAACAGCTATCAAACATGTTCATATTAGGGGCGCCTGGGTCGCTCAGGTCACTCTTGAACCGTGAGATCAAGTTCTGAGCCAGGCTCTGCGATAACAGCCTGATAGGGAGGGATTCTTGGGATCCTCTGTGGGTGTTCTCTCTCTCCCTCTCTCTTTGTCCCTCCACTGCTCTCGATCGCTCTCTCTCTCAAAATAAATAAATAAACTTAAAGAGAAGATTTCCCTGAGCTTTATAGCTTTCTCTTTTTTGTAAGGAAATAAGGGAAACTGAAAGTTCCTGTATACTGTGGCCACCCATGACCTGAAATGTTGAGATTGTTAATAAAAATTAGCCTTAGTAACACAGATACAATTTGGAGAGAGAGACAGTGAGAATGAATCACTGGCTTGATTAAAATATTCCTGGGCTCTGATTCCACGTCCACCAGACAACCTTCTGAGGGCTGATTTGAGCTCTCAAGTGTCCTCGTGATAGGAAGAGAGAGCTTTGAACAGTGAGCATGAGGGTTTATTTGTGGAAACTGACATTCTAATTCTAAAATTAGGATGGAAATTCAATTATATAGAATTCCAAAAGACCTAGAAAACCAAAGCGATCTTTAAAGAACATTGTTGGAAGATATATACTACCCGATATGAAGAGTTACAATAATTAAGCTATGATAATTAAGAAAATATGGGTATTGGTGCGAGAATAGATAGAGATCAATGGAAGAGAACAGAGAGCCCAGAAACAGACATTTGGGCATAGTCACATGATGAACAAGTAGGAAGCACTGCAACAAGGGAGGAAAGACTAGCCTTTTCTATCGTTGGTGCTAGGTCAAATTGACATCTATATGGGAAAAAAAATCAATTCTCACCTCACACTATAAACAAAACTTAACTAAAAATGTAGCACAAACCTAAATGTAAAGCCCAAACCATAAAACCTCCAGAAGAAAAGAGAGGAGAAAATCTTAGTGACCTTAAGTTTGGCAAAGAATTTTTTTTGGCAAAGAATTTTTAAATAGGACACAAAAAGAATGAACTACAAGAGAGGAAACTGATAAGACGTACTTTATAAAAATTAAAAACTTTCATTTTGAGGGGCACCTGGATGGCTTAGTCGGTTAAGCGTCTGACTTCGGTGCAGGTCATGATCTCATGGTTCATGAGTTTGAGCCCCAATTCGGGCTCTGTGCTGACAGCTCAGGGCCTGGAGCCTGCTTTGGATTCTGTGTCTCCCTCTCCCTCTGCCCCTCCCCTGCTCATGCTCTGTCTCTCTCTGTCTGTCAAAAACAAATACACATTAAAAACAAAAAACAAAAACCCTTTCACTTTGAAAGGCAAAGCCATAGAACGGGAGAAAATATTTGCAAAACATATCCACCAAAGCACTCTTATCTAGCATTACAGAACTTCTTATACTCAATAAGACAATCCAGTAAAAAGAAAGAAAAAGAAAGAAAGAAAAGAAAAAAATGGCAGAAAACCTTAATTTACCAAAGAGGGAAATAAAAAGCACATGAAAACACAGCCAACATCACTAGCCACTAGGGAAATGAAATTATTATTAAAAAAAAAATTTTAACGTTTTATTTATTTTTGAGAGAGAGATAGAGACAGCATGAGCAGGGGAGGGTCAGAGAGAGAGGGAGTCACAAACTCTGAAGACAGGCTCCAGGCTCTGAGCTGTTGTCACCACAGAGCCTGATGCAGGGCTCGAACCCATGAACTGTGAGAACTGTAGGACGCTAAACCGATTGAGCCACCCAGGCGCCCCTAGGGAAATGAAATTAAAACCACAATTTAGACATACCCAGTGAAATGACAAAAATAGGAAAGGGTTATCATACAAAGTGTTGGCAAGTATGTGAAAGAAGAGAAACTCCTTGACTGCTGTTGGGAGTGTGATACGACCATTCTGGAAAACATCTGGTGGCCTCATAAAGAGGCAAGCATACACCTATCATACAAGCCAGGCATTTCACTCCTAGGTATTCACTCAAGGGAAATGAAAGCATCTGGCCACACAAAGACTTGTACACAAACATTCAGAGTAGCTTTGCTTGTAAAAGCCCCCAAACTGGAAACCACCCAAATATCCATCAATAAGGAGATGGGGAAATAAACTGTAGCATTTCCATACAATGGGATACTACTCTTCAGTACAAAGAAATTTTTTTATAAATGCAAACATGGATATACGTCAAAATAATTATGCTGTGAGTAGTGTAAATAAAGAGTGCATACAAAATATTTCTATATAAAATTCTAGAAAATTCTAAAAACTACAGTGATGAGAACAGAGATAACTTCTTAAGATAATGGATACCTTCCTTATCTTGCTTTTGTTGATGATTTCATATATCAAATTATAAAAATTTATTAAATTGTACATTATAAATATGTCATTTATGGAGTGCTCAGTTGGCTCAGTAGGTAGAGCATGCGACTCTGGATCTCAAGGTTGTGAGTTCAAGCCTCACGTCAGGTGTAAAGCTTCTTAAAAAAAAAAAAAATAGGGCGCCTGGGTGGCTCAGTCAGTTAAGTGTCCAACTTCGGCGCAGGTCATAATTTCATGGTTAAGTCGGTTCAAGCCCTGCGTAGGAATCTGTGCTGACAGCTCAGAGCCTGAAGCCTGCTTTGGATTCTGTGTGTCTCCCTCTCTGTCTGCCCCTCGCCCCCTCCTGCTTGTGCTCTCTCTCTCTCAAAAATAAACACTGAAAAAATTAAAATAAATAAATATCACTTATTGTCAATTATACCTTAATAAGACTGTTCAAGAAAAACTTTCCCAGGAGGTGATGCTACCTGCTTGCTCCCCTTTAGGCTGTGAGCTTTCCTGGAGTTGGGTCTGACTCCTTCTTAGAGAGCCATGCAGGAGGCTGATTTCACGGGGAGGCCTGTGGAAGAAGCCCTGGAGGTCAGGAATGCCAAGCTAGGTGATGGCAGTCAACTTGGGTGTGCTTGGATGGTAATTACTTTCCATTTTCTCAATACAAGGTGCTTGTCCTTCAAACAGGCCCAGCTATTTCTGCCTCCAGCCCCCAATCTTCATGTAGCTGGGGTGTCCTCATCATTCAGGTCTTAGCATGGATGCCAGGTACCTTCACTGAACACCATGTCTGACAGTCATTTTCTGTATTTCTCTATTTTTTCCCCATTGTATGCACCACAATCAAATTCTTTCTTTCTTTCTTTTTGGGTGAGCACAAGTTGGGGAGGGGCAGAGAGAGGGGGACAGAGGGTCCCAAGTGGGCTCTGCACTGACAGGCTGAGAGCAGCGGGCCCGATGTGGCTTACAGTCATGACCTGAGCCAAAGTCAAGACACTCAACCAACTGAGTCACCCAGGTGCCCCTCATGATCAAAGGCTTATTCCTTTAGTTATCTTTTTTTTTTTTTAACATTTAAGTAATCTCTACCCGGAACGTGGGGTTCAAACTCATGACCCCAAGACCAAGAGTCACATGCTCTACCAACTGAGCCAGCCCCTCTTTTCATTTTTATTATTTATCCTCTTCCTCTCTGCTGTTGGGGCCCCACAGATCCCTTTTCCTGGTGATCCACCCACCTTATACGTGCCTTGAGTGCTGGCTGACAACTCACAGCTGCTTTGGTCAATACATGATGGGAAATGAAGGGTAGGGGAGAAGGGAGAGGGTATTAAAAACTGGATTTCTTCTCTCTGACCCTCCCCTGCTCGCGCTGTCTCTCTCTCTCTCTCCTAGAAATAAATAAAAATATTTTTAAAAAATATGTTTAAAAAAAAAACTGGCTTTCTTGTGGTAAGGAGACCTAACTCTGGTTCAATTTATGCAGTTACCTGTGGGATGGGGCTGAAGCTAGTTTCCACTTGAGGCCACTCTCCTGCTTACTTTAGTTGGTTTCCCTGCCCTGTCCTGTCCCCCCGCCTTCTTCTGGTAGCACTTCCTCAGTAAATTACCAAACAAGAATTCTCATCTCAGTCTCTGCTTCCGGGAACCTCATCCATGACACCCAGGTAATCTTCACTACGGACTGTCTTGTTTTTGTTTTGTTGTTTGTTTGTTTTAGGGACTATCTTGTTCAATCAGTCCTTTACATCAAATTCCTATCTCTGGCTCTGCCTATAACCCCACCACCACCACCACCACCACCACCATCACCACATACACACACCTGTTATAGCTTGATAAGGGAGTATCTTCTTCACTTCTGTACAACCATGCCTGGAGCACAGCAGACAATAATTGGGCTGAATACAGTGAGAGCCCAGGGTCTGTTTTACAGCTAGACTGTGAGCACCCCTTCTGTCCTGGACTGGCCAGGCCTGGAGGCATTGTGAGTCATAGCTGGCGGACAGCAGCTGAGCGTGCAGCGATGGGGCCAGGCCTGGGACAGCAGCTCGGCACCTCCAACACATCCTCCAGGTGAGGCAGACATGCAGCGAGCATTACTGGGAAAGGGCCCTCTGGGAAGATGTGTCCTTAAGGGTGGGTCTAGCTGCACCTCTCAGGCCCTCTTTAGGCTTCCAGAGAGAGAGATGATGCCCTGGGCCAGATCTAGGGGATAGTACCACCCCTTCAGCCCAGCTATGTGCAAGAGGAGTGTGTGTTGGATTGATGAAGGCATGATAGAAAGTTCTCTCTCTTTTCACCCTCCATGGGGAGAAGAGGAATTTAAAAGAGAACATATAGCTCTCTTTCCCATACAACAGAGTCAGCACTTACAGGCATTGGGGGAGACAGAGAATGAGACGTGTCTGTTATCTGGACTTCAGCTTCCTCGAGGATGTAGTCCGCTTGGGGAAAAGGCATGTGGAGTCTGCATAACCTCTATTACCTTGAATCCCAAGCATAGGTCCTAGCCCATGGCAGAGACCCCCAAGATGTCACTGAACATGCTGTACTACTGTCATCTACATACACCTCGGGGTTCCTAGCTGGACCTTAGCCTGAGCCTGCCTAGAACAGACCTGGCCCGGCCCAGAGCAGGTTGTAAAATAACTGAATGTGGCAGTAATGCATGGGTTATTTTAGACATCCTACCAAGCACTTTTCTGAATCCAGATCTAGCCCTGGCTTTGTCATCCAGCAGTGCCCTCTTATGCACACAGAGAGTTTATGCCCTGGCCCCCTTTCCAGCTTCCTCATGTATTCCCAGACCAATCCCCACACCAGCCGTACTCTAAACTCTTCCTCACATGGGGAACATGTGAACTGTGGCCTGGCTCTTCACTCTGCCTAGAGGCTCTCCCTTGTCCACCCTCAACCCATGTGGCAAAGTCCTGCTCCACTTTTAAAGTACCTGTCTCTATTGTTCCCTTCTTCTGGGACAGCCATCCCTTCCAGCAGCCGGCCCTACCTCAGAGAGCAAGGGATATGGCCCTCCAGCTGCATATATGACTCGTGGGCATGACACAGAGTGGTCTTTGGGGAAGGTGGTTTCAGGACGATTACTGGCAGCGCCAGTGTGCAGGGATGGGCTCCTCGGCGACCAGCACCTTAATGCCAGCCTCCGAGTTAAGCCCTGTCCACCGATCCTCGCGGTTGAACCGGACAGCCCGTCCAAGCATGCTGCTCACCCGCACTCTTGCTCCCGGCAGTGCCCCAGGCTCGCCTTCATCACTCTGGACACCAGGCCTCCAGAGGCAAGGGCGCAGCCCCGGTCGCCCACGTCCTCGAGGCCCGGCACCAGGCACCTGAGCGCCCCACAAGGCCCACTCGGCCTTCGCCCTGGAGGCCTTCGGGTGCCTGAGCTCGGGCCACGCCAGCCGCCTGTGGGAGCAGCTGCGGCAGTTCTGGGCCGACCACTTTTCGCGGCGCTTCTCCCCGCGGCGCCCGCCGCTGCGTCGCATTTCCTCCATGTCCACCTTCTACCTGCTGGACCACCGGACGCGCCAGGCCGAGCTGGGCCTCAGCTACGGCGCGCCGCGCACGCGCCTCACCGACGAGGCCTTCGTGTTCCGCGGCGGCCGGTGGGCCATCGAGGGGCAGCTGGGGCGGTCGCGGCCGCCGCTGCCCTCGCCCGGCAACTCGGGCTGGAAGACGCAGGTGCAGGGGGTCAACAGCCAGTTGCTGCTGGAGGAGAACAACTACCTGAAGCTGCAGCAGGAACTGCTCATGGACATGCTGACTGAGACCACGGCACGCATGCACCTGCTAGAGAAGAAGCTCGACTCGCAAGCCAGCCCGCCGCCTGGGGCGCGCTCCTGGCAGCGGAAGATGCGCAAACGCGAAGGCGCGAACGCCGTGCTGGTAATCCAGCCGCGCGCTCTGGAGTCGCGGTGACGCAATAAAGCCCGTGCGGCGCACGCGCACTTCATGCCTCGCTGCCCACCGGCGTGTTTTCGCCCGCCGCCAAGTGGGCCCGGCTGCGGCTCGCGACCCGCGGGTGGGCACCGTCACTTAGTGCGCGTTAGTGGATGGGTGGCCCAGCCGGCAGCCCGTCTCGAGAGGGCGCGATAGGGCCGCGGAGGAAGGTGTGTGTGCGGCCCGCTGGGAACGCGGGGTGGGAGCCAGGCTTGCAGCGCGCGGTGCCGGGGGGGGGGGGGGGGGGGGGGGGGGGGGGGGGGGGGGGGGGGGGGGGGGGGGGGGGGGGGGGGGGGGGGGGGGGGGGGCGGGGGGGAAGGGGGGCGAGGATGTCAAGCGGGGGCGGGCAGTGGCGTACTTGGGCTCAAGAGACGCAGGACGAAGTCGGGGAGGCAGTGAAACGGGACCTCAGCGATGTAGGATGCAGTGAGGCGGGCAGGCAGACATGGTCGGGGACCTAGCTCTTAGCTCCCTTGGCTTAGAGGGGCAGCGCGGGCCAGAGGGTTTCAGCCTGACTCTGGAGTACGTGTATTTTACGAATCTTTCTCGAAACTGGGCCTCAACCTTTTCCAGCTAGCCGTGTGGCTTTTGGCGGGTCGCTTCTCTATGACAGGTCTCCTTTCCTCCTCTGTAGAATAAAGAGTTTGACTCATCCAGAGTACAAACAAGCACCTTCCAGGGCTAAGCCTGTAACACAGGAAGGATTTGCTCCACCCACGTTATTAAAAAATTTTGTATTAGTTGCCAAAGTTAAACATTTCTTTTGAAGTTATTTATTTTTGAGACAGAGACAGAGCACGAGCGGGGGAGGGGCAGACAGAGAGGGAGACACAGAATCCTAAGCATGCTCTGGGCTCTGAACTGTAGGCACAGAGCCAGAGTCAGGGCTCCAACCTACCAACCCCGAGATCATGACCAGAACCAAAGTCAGAGTCTTAACTGACCGAGCCACCGAGGCTCCCCTAATTGCCAACAATTAAGAATTTGGAAATTTCACATAAAAATCCAGATTTCCTGTGTTCTCAGAGACTTGGCCATCCGTGACCTTCATTTTGTCCAGCAGCAATGGCCTTGAGCCGAATCGTGGCTGTTACCTCCCGTTGAGCATCACTCCTTTCTTGTGATAGGTGTCTGATTTTGCTCTCCTCCTAGATCCATTCTGGATCAGGGCCGTGGGGAGCCCACTTCTCCCAACCCCCATACACACGAAGTATAATTAATAGAAGGTGCTTCAGGGAGTGTATTGCACTTGTGGGTGATGTGGCTGCACAACAAAAGGTGGTGACACCGGTCCTTGCAATCTGTAACCTTTTCCCTGGAATGCAAACAGGGCATTTCAGCCACCACTGAAACCCATTTCCCTAAGGCCATGTGATACCTGTGAGAGAAGTGAGTGTCTTGCCTCCGCCTAACTTTCCTTCAGGAGTAGACTCAGGATTACTAAATAGCCACTTTGACAGAGGTTTTCCTATGGGTTTGTTTTGTTTTAAATGTTTATTTTTGAGAGCATGTGTGCATGACTGGAGGAGGGGCAGAGAGAGAATTCGAAGCAGGTTCCCACTGTCAGTGCAGAGCTGGATCCGGAGCTCAATCTCATGAACTGTGTGAGACTGGGACCTGAGCTGAAGTCAGATGCCAGACTGAGCTACCCAGGCACCCCACTAACCAGCTGTTTTGTACAAAAATATGGACTTATTTATTCAATGAGGAAGAGAACACAAAACATGTCATTAGACACTAAGTTTAAAAACATTTCTTTTGAACGGTGCTTTTTTTTTTGTATTTTAGTAATTTTGTATTTACGTTGATGTAGATTAAGTGAAAAGTATTTAAAATAGTTATGATGGTGAGATAAATTTCCCTTTTAAACTAAGAAGGGGGCACGTGGGTTGTTTAGTCAGTGAAGCATCCAACTTCGGCTCAGGTCAGGATCTCATGGTTCATGGTTTCGAGCCCCACATTAGGCTCTATGCTGACAGCTCAGAGCCTGGAGCCCGCTTTGGTTTCAGTGTCTCCCTCTCTCTCTGCCCCTCCTCTGCCCACACCCAGTCTCTCTCTCTCTCTCAAAAATCAATAAACATTAAAACAAAATAAAATAACTAAGAAAGGGGTGCCTGGCTGGCCTAGTCAGAAGAGTGTGTGGCTCTCAATCCAGAGATTGTGAGTTTGACCCCCATGTTGGGTGTAGAGATGACTTAAATAAAATATTTAAATAAATAAAATAGTGAAGAAAATATATATACAGACAAGGAAATGGAAAGGGAGTCAAATGATACACCAGAAAAAAATCAAACCCAAAATAAGGTGCTAATGGAGAAACTGCACTAAGTGGATGCCAGACTCAAAGGGTCAGTTATTGTATGATTCTGTCTGTATAGCACGTCGCTGACAGGCAGACCCAAAGAGACAGGAAGCAGATTGGTGGTTACCAACGGCTGCTGAGGAGTGCGAAGGAGGCAGCGACTTCTTAGCAGACGAAGGCGTCCCTTTTAGAATGATGAAAACTATTTTGGAACCGTTTGGTAATGGTTGTACAGCACTGCGAATGCTCTAAAAGCCACGGAGTTGTACACAGTAGTGAGTTTCATGTTATGCAAATTTTACCACAGTAAAATATTTTGTGTGTGTGTAAGAAAGTGCTTTACATAAAAACATGAAGTAGGAGCCCCTGGGTGCCTCAGTTGGTTAAGTTGGCCTACTTTGGCTCAGGTCAAGATCTCGCGGTCCATGGGTTCGAGCCCTGCATCAGTCTCCGTGCTGACAGCTCAGAGTCTGGAGCCTACTTCGGATTCTGTGTCTCCTTCTCTCTCTGCTCCTCCTCCACTCATGCTCTGTCTGTCTCTCCTTCAAAAATAAATATTTTTTAAAGATTTTTTTTTTAAGTGTAGTAAAAACTACACGAAGTGTGGGGAAATAGCCAAAATCATAACAGTGATCCAGGAATGCCTAAAGTTTAGGGATTATTGTTTTGGCCAAAACACTTGACAATAAATAATTCTGGAGTAAATAGCTGCCCTGGCAGACCAGAGCTGCAGGCAGGCAAGGAGCCCCATGTTTAGGGAGAGGCTACCCAAATGGAGAAAAGGCCCGAAATAAATGGAGCAGGATGATATTTTGAGATCTCTGACTTTGTTCCTCCTGCTATGGAATTTCACCCCCTGACTGAGGCAGCCAAGCGCCTTGCCCCAGGGAGGGATGTGACAGGAGCAGAAAGTTTGAACAAAGGACTCTTTGTGGCTTTCACCTCCTACAGCTCAGAACTCTCTGGGGATCAGAGCTTTGCAAAAAAAATATTTCGGGGCTTGAAGAAGGAGGTCAAAGGGGCCGCAGATTTGTCTACAACAAGAGGAAAGATGAAGGGAATTGGGAGCAGAGAAGCTGGTCGGTCTCCCATCTTGGAAAGAAAAGATTCCTTTTCTTGACCTTACATTACTTTCCAGCTACTGCCCCATTTCTCTGCTTCCCTTTATAATGGAACTCCAAAAAGTTGCCTGTATTCGCTGTCCTCAATTCCTCCCCTCCCTCTTTGCTCTTAATCCCCCTTGACTTTGGGTGTCTTATCACCCCTTCCCTCCCCAGCCTACTGTCTGTCAAAGATGCCATCACCCTGCTATGTTGCCTGTCCTTCAGCCTCCATCGTCACCGTGGCCAATCATCAGCACTTCAGGCAGTTGATGCCCCTCCTCCTCTTTTTTTTTAATATTTTATTTTATTTTATTTTATTTTATTTTATTTTATTTTATTTTATTTTATTTCTGAGAGAGAGAGTGAGAGAGACAGCGTGATCAGGGGAGGATCAGAGAGAGAGGGAGACACAGAATCCGAAGACAGGCTCCAGCCTCTGAGCTAGCTGTCAGCACAGAGCCTGATGCGGGGCTCAAACCCACAAGTGTGATCATGACCTGAGCAGACCTGAGCCGACCTGAGCCAAAGTTGGACACTCAACCGCTTAACTGACTGAGCCACCCAGGCACTGCATGCATGCCCCTCCTCCTTGAAACACTGTCTTCACCTGGCTTCCAAGGGCGCTACACTCTCCCGATTTGCCTCCTCCCTCACCGCTCCCTCCTCAGTGCCTACCTGATTTTACTCTCACTTCCTTCAGGTATCTGCTTAAAATTTTTTGTTAATGTTTTTATTTTATATTTGAGAGAGAGACATAGAGCAGGAGAGGGGCAGAAAGATGGAGACAGAATCTGAAGCGGACTCCAGGCTCCAAGCTGTCAACACAGAGCCCAACATGGGGCTCAAACTCCTGAGCGGTGAGATCATGACCTGAGCTGAAGTCAGACACCTAACCGACTGAGCCGCCCAACCCCTAGGTATCTGCTTAAATGTTATCTTTCCAGTGAGGTTTTCCCTGATGACTCTATTTTTTAATTGTTTTTTTAGAAGTTTTATATATATTTATTTTGAGAGAAAGTGAGCAGCTGAGGGGCAGAGAAAGGCAGAGAGAGAGAGAATCCCAAGCAGGCCCCCTCACCATCAGCACAGAGCCCAACAAGGGGCTCAGTCTCAGGAACCATGAGACCATGACTTGAGTGAATTCAAGAGACGCTCAAGTGAGACCAAGTAGGCACTTAACCTACTGAGCCACCAGGCACAGACCCCCACACCCTATGTCTCTATTTAAATGAGCATGTGTTCTCCCCAACTCCAACCAGACCAGCACAACTTACCGTCCTTTCCTGTTTTGTTTTCTAACACCTGTTACTATTTGACAGGCTGTATATTTTATGTCCATCTCCTACCTACTCCCTCTCACCCCGCCACCACTCCTAGGATGCAAGCTCCATAGAACTTTCTGTTCTGTTCTTTCCTGTATCTCAGTGTAGAAAAATGCTTAGCGACACTAATTAGGACCTCTCCAAATATCCCTAGAATGAACAAAGGTGTAAGAAGCAGGCACCTGAATCCCAGGGAGAGATGGTGTCTGGCTTATGGCATCGGCCCAGACGTCTGATCCCCCAGGAGGCAGGAAAGATGTAGTAGAGGTGTTGGAACTTTGGTTAC